CGGGATCCAATTCAGAATAAGGGCTACTTAGTGCCAATTCATTAAGTATCATTTCACATAAACAGGCTTTAATATTATTCAATCCGAAGCTCAGGCAGTGGCACATAGTTAACGACACTGACCAGCACCGAAATCTCATCATTTAGCAGCTGCCGATGAGTCACTTGAGCAGAATTTATAGCGACACCGATTGGATCGTCCATCTATCGGATTTCTGAACGGAAGACACGTCCAGCAGCCGGGACAGCGGAGGCCTTTTGAAGGTTAGTTAAGTCCTTTGTTCACTCATAAAGACAAATGAAGGGATTTGCAGTTATTTTATGGGTTACGTGATGTTACATGGCTAGGACTGTTTGCCTTTTATATGTCTCTGTTTATCTTCATGATTGTAATAGGACAAACGTGAGTCATTGGAAGATGTAAATGAATGCGGAACTTCAAATAAAATTGGCAAACGTTGATTTAGTTTTATGCTTGGTTAATGAAAGTTGCTGATGACCGAATTTGCCAGTGAACTAGATCGGCCAAAATGAAAGAAACACCCAACTGCTATCTTATTTAATAAAAATACTGCCTATATTGCTAATTTTTCGTGATAATATTTGCTTTAATCCAATGATCTGACGCAATCAGTGGCCCAAGCCAGCACAGATGATTGCTAATTCGCTTAGGGAGACATGGGTAAATATTTGAGATAATTTTTGTTGAGGGAGTGCAAATCCCTACGTATAGCCATTTCGGTTTGACTGGCCGACTCTGTGAATATTGGCCAAAATCAAACCAATAATCATCATTTTATTTGCCGTGACTTTGATAAATGGCACATGAAAAGTATACTGAAAAGTTTTCGTTCTCGCACCTACCCAGCTAATCCCGGACGAGAAATAAAAATAATTAATTTTGTCAGCTGTATATCAGTATCCAAATTTAGATGGAAAAAGAATTTCGCAAAAACAGTGGCAATATTTTAAAACCCTCGATCGAATCTAATTCAATGTTAATTGTAGTTTTTTTCTGCTGATCGTTAAGTTTTAGTTGGAGTGGATTTAGTTGCATTACTTGGAAAATTTTGCTTTAATCAGTTTACTATGATTCATTCTGCCTATAGTGCTGCCTCCGTTTCTAGATGTTTAAAATTGGTTCATTATATTGAATGTCATTCTCATAGATTACAGCATGAGAAAGTCAATTCCAAATTCTAATAGTGACTTTTTCAGTTTTAATATACTTTGCAAACATTTAATTCATAAGATATTCAAAGTTCTGTTTAAAGTTTTGGTTATACCGTACCTACCTGTGGATAAATCAGGATCCATTACAGTTTTTGCTGACGGTTCAGAACGCTCCAAATATTCAATTCTTAGTTTTTTCATCGAAATTAATATTTATCAGAAGTTTCACCAGCAAATTGTTTCAATTGCGGTCATCATTTATTTGAATTCAAATCATGTTGAAAATTAAAGGTACTTTTTAGGAATGTACTTAACTCTAGGAAATGTCCTTTAACTGAACGTTGTCGGTCAGACACCAAATCTTCTATTAATGAATCATTTCAATTAAACATTGTAACTGAAAATTTCAAAATATATTTAATAATTATTCAGTTTGTGTCGTGCCCCATTGGTATTTGAAATTCTGTAAATAAGCTACTATTATTCCGTAGTAAGATGGAAATCAAAATCTCTCTCGAACATCTAGTAATCTTTGTCCCTGAAATTACGCAAAGCAATAAAATGAAGCATTGCATGGGTTTGACTAGTATTCTAAATTTTCAGTTATTTTATTTTTAACTGAAAGTCAAGTCGTTCGATAAACTAATTTTATTTCCTGACTAGTAACTCAGATATTTCTATTACCACCTCTAACACTATTATTGTTATTTCTACGCATGACAAATATGGGTATCGAATAATTTTGAATTTTATAATTTTCCATGTCTCTTCATATTTATTTGCTTAATATCTTCTATCGGCACACCGTTTATGGAAGGAAGTATTTCTATAAACAAAAGTAATTATTTATATAGTAAAATATCACCGTTGGCAACTACGTGATATCAAAATTGTAGCTCTCAAGTAGGTATTTTACCTCTGGATCACAGAAATACAGGCATTTGGAGTATTCGAATGCAACCACGCATTTGTCGTCGAAATTTGTCACTAAAACATTAATTCAACGTTAACCGCAGGTTATGCTTTTTAATACATTGCCTACAAATAATGTCTCTTGATAAAAGACAATATGCAAGTGATCTGTGCAAAAAAGTGCAAAAATAAAGTAATTCACACTCGCCTGCATTTTCGCATTGGCCCATACATTTAATGACATAATCTTGCAGGTCGATTGGAAGTTGCTCCATTTGCTGCAGCGCAGATTTTTTGTCAAAATGATTCTCCTTGTCAAGCTTAAATCCACCAAGTGGTAAATCTAATTTACAACATAAAAACCCAAACTTACCATTTTGTACATATTAAAGCCACACCACATATAGCACTGAAAAAAAATATTAATTTACAAATTATTCCTGTTTTGAATATTTTTAAAACTTGGATTGGTATTAAAGATAAGCAGAAGAATTGTATAGCATAGTTAGCAAACAATAAAACTTCGTATACCTGAGCTTCATAATCAACATCCCAATTGCCTTGATGCATTTTTTCGATGTCTTCTACAACACACAAAGAAATAGTAAGAAGTAATAACTTTCTTACATCATGAGCAAGATTATCTAAAAATATTGTTATTTCAATAATAAAGTGGTGTCACCAGTCAACAACAAAATCGAAATAAGTTTGTAGTTTTTTAGCTTCATTCATCTGATTAAAGACCTTTTCAAAAACCTCGCATTTATTGCAATAAAATTAGTGGTAAATCATGATAAAACCGGCCCATCCTCTATAAAAAGTTGACTTTTGTAATAGTTCACGAGTTTTCACTTCATTTCGTTAGAAAAGTGCTGCTTTATTTTTATTAATAGAGGGACAGCATGTAGAACTTTTCCAACTTATACAAAAAAACCATACAAGCATAAGTCTTCCAAAAACCTGGGGTTCTTAAGAAATTCCATTTCAAATCAAGTTTGTTTATGAAAATTGGTAAATTTTGCAAGGGGATTTTAAAACAAGATTCAATTTTTCAACTGAAAATTCGTTATTTTTTCAGGTTTTTGAACCGACGTGGATTTGAATTTCTTACCGACGTTTTGCATGCACGAGTGGCTGACATCTTCAGAGGTCGTCCCTTCTGAAATGTTAGGAAGTAATTCTGATCCACGGTATAAAAACCCGAAAAAATCACCAGTTTCAGATTAAGAGACTATAATCAGGGTCAAAAAGTTAAAATAAACTCGCCAGTTCCAAAAAAACGACGCCAGAGCACCTGTTTTCATAACTTTTAACTAGTTATCTTTTGATAAAAAGTTGCCTGACCAAACTACGGCCAAAATGACTATTTTTTAACATAATTTGGCTTGATATCCCTCGATACATGCTGAAGTTCCCGGTAATAATTTTATATGAACAATAGTATTTTGATTGAAATCTGAAATCAACAAAATTAAGTCACATAAAAACATCAATGTAACGATAACAACCATATCAATGATTTTAGGGCACAGCAACCACAGATTAGTCTACTAATCTCTGCAGCAACAAATTTAAAACATTTGTAAACATTTAAAAAATGCCTAATCAACTGATACGTGCTTCATTAGTTAATCGCCTTAAACTTGATTTTCTACCAAAGCTTATGTTGTTTTAACAGTAGATTTGAAGAAATAGTAAACATTAATAAAACAATAAGTCTGCTCTAAACCAAAATATTTTTTTAACTATGACGAAGTGCGATTGCATCGAGAGAACTTACCCATAATTTTCATTGAGAATGTGTTTAGTCACAGTGAAACAAAATACGGTAATTTTTTCATCTGCGAAAGTACAATGAAGTGAGGCAGTAAAAGCAAAAATTGATTGAGTGAAGCCTAAAAGTGCACACAATATTAGAGAATAAACGTAGTTGATTTAAACATTTATGTTCAAAAGTAACCACTGGCCTATGTTTCTATAGACGCTTTATATTTATTTTAATCGTCCAATCAGCTGAAACAAAAGAATATTACAAAGTAAAAATTCCATTTCGGTGCATTAAGGACACTTATTAGGCAGTTCCGATAGTCAAAATCTACTGATGTATGGTTAAATTTTATGTTTTCTTGTGCAAAAAGTTTATATATTTTTTTGTTGGTTTGTTTTTATTTTACCTCTAAAACTAAACCAATTAATTATCACATATCTTTAAAAAATTATGGAAACATAACTAACCTGGATTAACTTTGGACTTCCCCATGCACATATTTCTCACCAGTTTTACAGCTGCCGCCACCTGCTTCTCCGTCAACTAAACATTGTGTAAGATATAGATCGGCAATAAGACTATCGCAAAATAATTGTCACATTATGAATTGTTTTTTTTTGTGCAGTGTTATGTAACTTCCAATATTTTTAATAAAAAACATATCAGATCAACGTATTTAATTAGTTTTCTAACAAGATTTTCGTTACAGACCAATGAAATATTAGGAATAATTTAAACCTTTCACCCAAATTTCTTGATGTTCATTTGAAATCATCAGAATTGCATTGGACACATGTATCAAGAATGTCCAAACATAAAGGAATTTGTAACAATCCGTATATCAGTAATCATTTAAGAAAATATGTCAGTGCTGATACTCTTTATACAAAAGTTCTTTACTTATTAGATTTATGATTTTCTTGTGAATGTGTTGAATATTCAATGTATTGAAAATATTGATCGCAAAATTGAATTATTCAATTCTGGAATAAGTTTTCGAATTAACTTTTACAATTCAAATTGAATTAGAAATCTATTGAAATAGATAATAGGTCAAGGGACTATGTCTATTTTAAAGAAATTAAACGGGCTCGAATGAACCATATTATTATTTATTCACAGCTAAGTTCACTTGACAATTTTGCCACTCCGGTATATTCATGATCCTGAACCCAACTTTCTATTCAAGAGAGAAATGTATGATGCAGAAAGCCGCTTCATACTTTCCAATGGAAGCAGCGAACCCTCGATTCGAAAGCATTTTATAATTAAAGTTGAAGTAGTAAGTTAAGTTAGATTTTTTATTTATAATGTCATCAATTGGCTACTATCTAATAGTAAATGGATGAAGACGTTTAAAAATAGTATATTTAAAAGGGCAGGAATTTAGGTAAAGCGAGTAATCTAGTATGAATTATGTAAATAAGATTGATCAAAATAGAAAAAAACAACCATTACGAATTAATTATTATATACAATGTTTGATGGAAGAAAACTATGTTATGTTGTCATACGAAAACGGTGTCTGTTTGAATTAACGCTAAGTTACAACTGTTAGCCGGTATTTTCTTGTTCAAGTAAACAGTGTTTTGAAAATGAAAAAACAATTTAGTTGACAATTTGTAAACTTTCTTAAATTACGAACTTGCCGCCAAAACTTTTAACTAAATTTTAGAGTGATGTTGAAATCATCTTTCACCCCGACTGAATTGGTTAAATCAGAAAAAGTTGTTGCTACTTACCCTGCAATTTCCTGTCGAAATAAAAACAGTGAGCAAAATAGCCGCCCAAATAAGAATTGTCTTAGTCAACATGTCAGGATGTAGTGCTTCTAAGCGGTTTAGAAAACAAACTATGCAACTATATCGTCAAAATAAACAAATCTGAAATTGTAGTTTGAAATTACAGTTTGCCTTAATCAAAATTAGTGGAATTAACTAACTGAGTGAGTAGTCAATTATTTTTTAATTACAACATCTATTTCCTGGATGTGTTATTTGTAATAGGAAACCTTCATTAAGCCTCTTATTCTTATTATTAATTCTTAATTAAGACATTATTACACGCTACGACTTTTTATTCGTATTTATTAATTATTAATTTATTGGTTATATTGACTAAAACATTGCAGGTTTCGGCAGTTCTAAGTTAATGTGCATTTGACTTATGCGATAATTTAGAGCTGTAATATAAACCAACCGGAGAACAAAATGCGCCAATAAAGAATTAGTTCTCCTTATCAATAGTATATAAAGTATCTTACCGAGAAAATTTATTTAGAATAGAAAGTTATTATATACCATATATACATATTTATACATATATTTTTACATTATTTTTTATGATAGTTAATTGTATATTAAATAGTTTTAAAGCGGTGCGCGTACGATTCACTTACGTACGTAGAAATAAACGTAAAACTTATCTCTGATTAATTCGTTATTGAAAATATCCGAACGGTAATATACTGAAGATTAAAAAGTGTTAAAAGAATCAAATATTCCTTTGATAACACTGGCAAAATAGCTTTGATCATATTGCAGCGGAACGTTCGTGTAAGTAAAATGTTTCTTTTGGAAATCAAAAACTAACTTGCCTATTTAATTTTAGGCTTCGAAATCAGCCTTAGTAAGTTTGAATCTGGGAGTTGATACAACCTGCAATATACTGAGATAGAAGCATTAAATAAGTTTAAGTATACAGGGTGATTCAAAATTGGCGTCATTCCTTTTAAGGGGTGATAGAGGCTCAATTGGGGAGTACCAGAAAATTATTGAAAATGTTTTTTTCGAAAATTTCTAGAAGATATTAACAGTTGAAGATCGAATTTCAACTTTGTTATTAAGCATTATTTTGAAAAAATCCCACGTTG